TTTGGTTGTTGATTGTATGGCTAAAATTTGCAGTTGGCTTATGACAGTTCTGCCTAATGCTGAACAATTCAGACAATAAACTCCTTTTCTGTACAGTCTGGTTTTAATTGTCTTAAAATCTTCCAGCTCTCCCATTTTTCTTTATGTCAAACTAAGCTGGAAAATGTATTTCTATCTAGTCAACTAGAATTACTGAAAAATAATTAGGATTGTTCCAAACAGAAAATATATCAGATTAAACTTCCTTTGGGAAAATGCTTCACTGCCTGCTCCGAGTGAACACACCAACATTATCAACTCTTGGATCTTGTTTCTCTGCTCTTGCTGTGTACTGGAGAGAACAGAGCGCCAGTGCAGCTACCCACCTTACTGTTTCCCTTCCCTTTTTATATTCTCTTCATGGATGTATTAAGGCAGTGGTTGAAATAGGTAGCTATGCAATGTTATGCCACACTGGCCTTTCTGAATCACAGACAGATTGCTGTCCTAGAGAGATTTCTAAATTTTCATCCCAACATTTATAGATTTCAGCTTTGGCCACTGAATAAGGAAATATGTCTTGTGCAATGAAGTTGAAGAGAAATTAATTTTTTCTGAAATTAGGGTTATCTTATTTCTATGGTAGTACTTATGCAGAAAGAATTCTTTAGGGTATCTTCAAATCTGCAGTGCAGTGTGGCTTCAATGTCAATGCTTGCAATGAAAATCTATCACATTAGGGCATGCTCACCTCCTGCCTGCATGATTCCCAGTAGTTTTGTGATGAGTTATCTTGCGGAGTGGTATAGGATTTTAATACAATAATCTGTACATTAGCAGAAGTATGTCATGCCAGAGCTAAACCATCCTGGCCAAAAGAGGAGCCGCAAATCCCAGGGCATTAAAATTCAGTAAACTTCAAAATTATGTAAACGTAATATATTGAATTATCTTAGATAGCTGCTGTATTTTTTTGAAGAAGCTTTTCCTTTTCAATGTTGACTTCAAACCCCAGTACAACTAACTCCACACCTTGAAGAATATGCTGTACCACTGTAAAAAAACTTGTAAAACTAGACTAAGTGTACAAGTCAGGGTTTGTTTGGGTTTTGTTTTGTTTTTTTTTTTTTTCTTGTGGAGTGGAGTGGGGAGAGGCAATCAGGTTTAGCAGGCTGGGAATCGAGGCTGGAGTATGCAGAGTCTCTCAAACATGAGCTTCCAAAGGCCTTTGGAGAGTGCCAGGAAAGCTGTGCTGGGTTTCATTTCTCTGAGCATGCTTCAATATTAGGTGTCATTAAATGTTGCTGGCTTTGTAAGAGTACTGGATTAGTAGTGATTTAGGCTGTTTCACCATCTTATTTGCTGGTCAACTTGACTTTAATTTTAAACAATTTTGGCATTCACTGCTGATTCATAATTTATGCAACTATGAATTTCAGTAGTAATTTTCAGCGTTTTCTCCATGGTTTCTGGAACAACAGCCAGAAATGCCTGCTCTGCAACAACATTTTTGGTTTACAGACTGGCAATAATACCTTTTTCTAAGCCAGAAAATTACCATCTCGCATCTGAATTGAAAGCTGCCACTTACTTTTAGTGGAGAGAGAGAACCCATTTAATTGATCCTCTGTAGCAAAAGCAAGCTGTGGAGCTCTTTAAGGTAAAATATATTTTCACTAGTGAAGAACTATTATTTGCCTTACATAATTTTCCTCAGTTTTACACTATGTTTTTGTCTATTAGCATAAGAATCCTAAATGATTCAAACTCTCTGATCTCTCCCCCATCCTCACTGTCTAGGGAGATGGGTCGGAGTGATGGATAAAAGCAACTGGTCACTTGGGAAAGGTGGCCCTTGTTTCAACAAGGAAATTGTGAGGGCTATACAGAAAGTGATGAAAGTGTTCTTCATAGCCATTATCTATGACGAAAACCTCAGTGTATGTGTCCTTAGAATAAGGCTGATTATTCTGGGCTCCTACCACTGGGAAACAGTCACTTTTCTTACTGAGGATTTTCTGTTCTTTCCGCTGTTAAGAATTCTCTTAGGCAGATCTGCCTGACTTTGTGTGTGCAAGCCCATTTATAGCAGGAAAGGGAAAGCTAATCCCAACTGAATTTCAGTCACCTTTGCCTTCTGGGATATATAGAATTTCCCTTGAAGTTTGTACAGAGTCTGCGGTCGGCACCAAACAGACCTGCTGGCTCCTTTGATACTTTTAAGCTTCTGCTCCATCAATTGTGCAGGCTTTTGGTTTATTTCCAAGTTCAGTCCAACATTCTGGTTTTGATCTAGAGACCCTGATGTTATTTTGATCTTTTATCTTGCTGTAACTTTGTTTCCCTGTGTTTGTTCCTAGTGGTAAAGTTGGTTAGGAGTGAAATGATTATTTCAGGCTAAAGGTTGAAGCGAGCACAGGGGAGGATTTTTAGATTCTGGGGCACCTGGATGGTCTGGCAGATCTGGAGCTTCATTTCAGGAAGTATTACAGTGTCTCTCTTGCCTAAAGCCAAGTGCTGAAGTTGTGGCTATTTTAGACACAAGGATGCTGAAAGATGGAGTGAAGGTTTCTGTTTTATGGAAGAGGAGGAAGAATATAGAATTTGATGAGCTTTGTATGGATTCTCAGAAGAGCAAATCTTTTAGCTCATGAACAGCGGGAAAAAATGGAAGTCACAGTGTCTGGAGCAGTTCAGTCAGTTGCTAGTTAAATTATAAAAAATTCACAGATTATTTTGTATTTTTGTATAAATGGTGTTGTGAAAAGGATAAAAAATGTGCCTCCATTTGTTCAAGGAGTTATTTCCAGATTGCTTTTATACTTCCTATATATAGGGAGCTTTATATATATATTTGTGGGGGAACTTGTGCTTACAGGTAATTTTGATGGTGAACACTAGAAATGTTAATTATTTTATCTTTCTGAGATAGAGCGAAAGTGGTGGGGTTTATTATGTGTATACATGCAATCAAGGCAAATCTGTATTTTTAGATAGAAGCAGATTCTGATCCCCAGATGAAAGTCATGCTTTACCTTCTGTGGCATAAAGGTTTTATTTGGCTCTCTGTGGGAATGAAAGTTTATCTGTTTGTTCCTTGTCACCATTTTCAATGTACTGAGTGGCTTTTATTTCTGTGAAAGAGAAGATTGAACGTGATGGGCTTACCTGACCCAGCTTCCAATACCTATTTTTTAATTAAGTTCCCAGCTAAATATATGCTTCAAGCAGTCATTAAGGTCTATAAGGATGACAGGAAGGCAGCCCAGTTCCACTATAATAAAGTCATGTAGCACTACTAAAGATGAACATATGAACCATCTCCTTTCTGAGGTAATAAGGCTTTTTCTTGATTTTTTTTTTTTACTTACAAAAATATAAAGTAAAAAAATAATTGAATCCAAACACTTTCTTCTCTGAGTTGCCATATAATCACATAGAAACACAGCACCTGCACTTGGCAGTTCCTCTTATTTTGCTTTCTCTTCACTTCTGCATTTTCTTTTCCTTCCTATTCCTGCCCCTTGGGGCTCAAAACTGTTTGTATCAAGGCATTATTCCTAGGCAGGAGTTTCAAGGGTATGATACTGCTATTGTTAGTGCCATGCTAGAAAAGTAATGCCAAGCTGGGAAAGATGCACAGTAAGGATTTGATTGAAGTCCCATAGGTTTTCCCTTGAAGATTCTCGTTATCGTGTACAGACTTCCGTTCATCTTGCGCTGTATTGTAGCCTTAGTGACTGCAGGGTAGAAAGTCAGCTGCCTCGGTTTAGTGCGTGGCATGTAGATTATTGAATTTAAAATGTGACATCTATGGGTTTGCTATTCAGAAATAAAAAACCTTCATCAATTTAAACATTTTATGAGTGAAACAATGGGATGTGTTCAAAACAGGAGCAAGGGTGCTTATTTCTAGTCAGGTGAAGCGGTGAAAACTCACTGGTTTTATGCTGAAGGATGAAACGCTCTTGAGACCACAGTTTTTCTACATGGTATGAATGAAGCGGTGACTCCACTGATGGGGACAGCTTTGCTCAGGTGTGTGCTCACCCGGACACTTTTGGGCGCTAATGCTAAGTGCCGTCGGTGGGGGGGAAGCACCTCTTCATCGAGAAGACGGTAAAGGAGCGCGCCGCGCAGGATCCGCCCGAAAACCCGCGGGGGGAACGCGTAACGGCCGCGGGAAGGAGGCCCGCGCGCGCGCCCGCTGAGGGAGGCGCGCGGCCGCGCCGCCGCGCGGCCGCTGGGGCAGCCGCGCCCCCTGCCGGCGCCGCCTGAGGGGCCCCCGGGGCCCTGAGGGGCGCCGCGGCCGCCGCCGCCGGGGCCGCTGCCGCCGCCGGGGCCGCTGCCGCCGCCGGGGCCGCCGCCGCCGCCGTCGGGGGCCGGGCTCGGCCAGAGGCTGGCGGGGGCAAAGCGGCGGGCGTACGCGGGGTTTCTGGAGGAGAGCGTGGCACTGATAAGTCTTGGTTCAAAGCTCCCCGAAGTCAGCCGGAGGCCTTCCAAAGGGCTTTGGGCGTACCTGGGATCAGCCCCGCATGTTCTCAAAGACTTCAGGGAATTTTAAATCTAGATCTGAATCCAGAAACCTTATTTTTTCCCAGCAATATTAAACCTTTTATCTTCAGTTACTTGCCCTATATAGGCAAAAAATGTTTTTAAGAAGCTAAAGGGTGTGTTAAAAAAATAGTCTTACTTTTTATTATAAATACTAGATTGGCAAAACTGCAGTAAACTATTCTTTATCCATTTGATCACACTTTGTACAATTGTGTGTAGTTCTGTTTTTACACCACTGATACATGTTATTCTTCCTGGAAATACATCACTGAAGCCACCTCTTCTGTTTTCCTTTTTCTGTTCTTCTGGGTAGTCATGTTCCAGTCGCAGTTTTGAATCCTCAGAATTTTGCCACTTAGAGGGGAGCAGTAGTCTGCATGAATAATCGAGCATAATTTATTTGTACGTAGTTTATTTAAAATTGAGTATGGTTTTAATATTTTTTCCTTTCTTTCAAAATTTAGGTGGAGAACAGACCAAAGTATTATGGGAGAGAGTAAGTATTTCCTCTTTCAAGTATCAGTTGGGTGTATCTAAAAGTTGCTGTTCTAGAACTAAAAAAACCAAACACAATGGAAGTCTAATAAAATATTTTATTTTACCTGTCACTTCAACTACGTTACAGTCCAGTACTGCTGCTCACAATCTATGGACTGTGCTGCTATTTGAGCCTGCATGTTTATTTTGCTTTTTTCAGGACAATTTGGGAAAAAAATATCGTCTGGAGTATTTCTTCCTTTTATTTTGATTGTCACTTAAACCTCCCAGAGGTCCTGCAACAGTCTGAGGAGGAGAGAAGCAGCTTGCCTCTCTGCCTTTTTGTGTATGTTCTTACAGTTTCACCACACTACATGATGGTGGAAGTATGCGTGTACACTACTGCGTGTGTGAATGCCGTTCTCCCTGCTAAAGTTACGAGGTCCAAAATACTCAGAGGAGGTGTATTTTGGTTGTGAGGAAAATAACAGACCACTGGAGTACAATTCTTTTGTGGTCAGCAGTCTTTTTGCCAATAAATATCTTGAAAGGGGCTGCATTGGCCTGGCGATTTGGGCAGGTGAAGCTGAAGGGCATAGTCACTGCAGCAACCACCCAGATCTGACATTTGGCCTTTGCTAGAGTAATCTGCTCAAGCCCTAGCCCTTATTGTTAACTAAATTACTTATATCTATTTTTACTTCCATCCTAGACACATCATCTGTGTTTAATGATCATTTCTACCATCAAAAACCTCAAGAGTCCGTAGCTTTGCCCCTAATTACTGAAGTTTAATGTTTTAAATATTGTCTTTGACAACAGGGAATTCAGATCTAGCCACTAGAGTACAACAGAGCTGAAAACAATACCTAGCTGAGTAACCCTTCATGCTTCCTACAGCAGGGCTTGTAAAACCATTACTGCCATCTCATATCCAGGAATCTGCCTGGCTGTTGACATGCTCTGGGTTTGTGGAGCAGCAGGGCTGGCGGGAGCTGTAAGAAGTTGCTTTGGTGAACCTGCCCAGGCAAGATCACGTTAGTTACTGTCATTCAGAAAGAAGATTTCAGAACCATGGGGACAGTCCTATAAAAGCAATTGACTCAGTGATCAGTAGTGCTTGAAAAGAGAATCGGGAATTTCTAGGGAAAGAAACAGAAAAAAAACCCATATTACTATATAAATCTATTATGTGGCTGTGTTTTAAGTAGTGCTTGTAGTGCTGGTCCCTCTCTACCCCCTCCTCCTCCCTTTTTTTTAGAAAGGCTATAGAAGAAATGAAAGGTACAGTGAAGTGCAACAGTGGTGGAGCAAAGGGATGCAGCTCCTACCGTAGGAGGAAAATGAACAGGTCTTCCTCAGTGGGTGTCCAAGAGAAGGATATGCACAGGGTCCCTCTCAGGTTCATTGCCACAGGGTGCTGCAGAGGCCAAAAGCATAAAGATACTGAAGGGTTTTAAGTGAGATTCTCAGATTCATGAAGGTCAAGGTCACAGCTGATCCAACACAACTTCTGACTCAAGCGGTGATGGACGGACAGGGATGTGAAGTGAAAGAAATATGTCACTGCTTCCTGTACTCCTTCCGTAAACATTTTTTGTAGGTTGCTGTCAGAAGCAGGTGTCTGAGTTCAGGGGATCTAGTACCATGTACAAGCTGGTTTTATGCTCTTAGAAAAATGTACCAAAAATATTAATGAGAAAGCTTGGATTACTTGGTGTTTACCATCTGTGGTTAAAGAAATTTCACAGGTGCCCCAGGTATCTTGTCCCAGAGATTTCTTAAACTGATCACCAGGAGAGCTTTTTCCCTAATATCCATCCTAAAGCGTGCAGTATTTTATAATGAGCTTCTGGTGGCAAATAGCTTGTGCTCATTATTTTTAACTAGAGTTATGAATTGCCATGTGTTTACTGGCAAAAACATGCTTAAATTATGTCATCTAGGGAATGCTCATTTCAGTTTGCATGTGGCAGTAAATGAGTGTGTGTCCCACCAGCACAGACAGAAAGAGGAATCAATTTACATTATTTTGAATAGAAAGTCACTCTGGAAATATCACCTAAACCTAATATTTCCAACATGTATTAGTTGTGAAAGGACAATGTAAAGAATGGAACAACAATTGCATTTACATCCAGTGTGTTTTTCTTCTTTCACTACTGAGCCAGGGGCAGTGTTAGAAATGTGCCACTTCACATATATTGTCAGAAAAGAGAAAATGCTGAAGGCTGGTACATTTTAGTGCCTTTTCCAGACAGCAGCAAAAATAGAAACTTTCAAAACCTCTGAGGAGACCCTCAGAGACTTATCAGCTAGCAAAATTGTGCGTAGGAGTTAAGATTCAAACTGCATATGTTAAGACTGCATTTGTACTTATGGAAAGATCACCGCTTAATATTGATTATCATAGTTAATTGTGCATCCTAAGGCCTCTTTCTTTCTTAAAATAGCAATGACAGTAGAGTCAGAGAAGTATTGCTTTTTTCCAACACTGAGTGAGGAACTCAGTGAAATGAAGAAAAGGGTATTCTTCTCAAGGCTACTCTGTATCTTCTTCCACTTTAATATATGCAGAGTAGAATTTTGAATAATTGTTGCCATTTCTTATCTCAGTTTCCCTTACAAAGTTGAGGAAACAATGTTAATATGAAAATTAAGCAAACTGATAATAAGAATGACCTCTCATTTTAATTTTAAGTCATCTGCATTTAAAAAATAATAATGCCTTTGTGCCTAGTTTTCTATTTCATTGTAAGGCCTCTAGAAAGGAAACCAGGAAGAGGGGCATAGACTGGGAGAGGAGAAAAGTTGGGTAACGATGGGGCATTTACAGAAAATAATATTTGGGTGCAGTTGAGAGTTAGCCTCACCAAAACTGCATATACTGTGCCATTTTTGTTTTGCATCTATCCTGGACCTGCCCAGACTGTATGACTGTCCTGACGCTTTTATATACTTGGAGGCTGTCCTGATGGCTTAGACCACGATGCTCTGCAGTGCAGAAGTTTTCAAATGGTTTCTGGGACGGAGGAGGAGGTGTTTCTGGTTGGATTGTTCTGTAAATCACTGAAGTGTCTTCCCTTAGGTTTCATGGGATCATTTCTCGGGAGCAAGCAGATGAAATACTTGCTGGCGTAGAAGGAGCATATATTCTTAGAGAAAGCCAGCGGCAACCCGGCTGCTATACTCTTGCTCTCAGGTAAATACTCTTTTAATAGAGGCTTATAGTTCTCATGTAAATGTGCTTACTGGGATTCTATCAGTTCCTTTTGAGTGAAGTCTATGTCCACTGTTACATAATACACTTCATGGTATCAGAGTGATTCAGCACCCTCTCTTCAGCAGTGTGACCATCGCAGTACTGCAGCAATTCAGTCACTCCTTCAGCACTTGGCTAGGAAGTCCCCTTTCAGAAGCAGACTGTGCCTGGTTTCAAAATTTTTGCTACCTGGAGTTGAGTGTTGTAAAGATGGAGGTTCTTGAAAACTATATAAGAGGTGCGAGGGAGTACAGAACAGGAGATTGTCCCGGCAGAAGAACAGAGCCAGGTTGTCCTCTGAGCTCAGTGATGTGTTGTACACAAACATCAGCAGTCATTAGTGATAATAACCCTGGATAAACCTGGAAAAACATGAAGTCCAGCGGCTGACCAGCTGTCAAAGGCAGCATACTGGGCTTCAGTTTTCTTCCTTAACTGGAATTCAAGCCTGCTGTAGAAATGCAACGTGAAGCATGGGATGCTGCTGTTCAAAGAAGTAAGAGTCTGCTATTCAACTGAATTAAAAATTTAGTGTGAGCCCAAGCTACAACCTCACTGCACCTCACAGGTGCCTTTCCTTGAAAATGCTCCTGGCTTAGCTGTGCCATTCAAAACCTGCCTGTGGGACATGGGTTAGCAGCAAGACAACCAGATAGTCTATTGGGTTTTGACAGAGCAAACTCTTTGACAATATTTTACAATGTTTATAGCATTATTACTTCTGTGGGATATACACAAAATAAAAGTCTTCATTTTTACACTTATGCTGATAAGCCATTAGGAAAAATTGTTTAAGGAGTTATCCCAAGTAGGTGTGATACAGTGCTGAAATCATCCTCTGATTTTGTATTGATGTGCAGATGGTAGAACTGGAAAAGCTGGTGAGTCATGCCAACTAAAAAGTGGTGTAAATTAAAAGCAACTTTTGTCAGCTGAAAAAGAGCAAATGTAATTTTTCAGAGTTTTGGAATGAGATTTCAAAATAAAGAATTAAAAGAACTACGAAAGGATGATTATGGCAAAATGCCTGTTGTTTTGACACAACAGCACGATTTCTAAATCCATCTGAATAATTATTTGTAAAATCATAAACTGAATTTGATAGTAAATTGGGAATTCATACGAAAATGTGGGAAAGAGAATAAGAGGCTTAAACAGTTTGATTTGAATGCCCAACAAAGTATTCAGAGATGTGCACATTTGATGCAATCTAAGAACAGTTTAACCCAGTGTCATGTCTTTGAATCCTTTAATCACGAATGGGATTCCAACATCAGCGTGATTAACTGAATGTGCTACAACAGCACTTTGCCTTTTAAAACTTTTTAAAAAAAAACCATAGATTGCACCTGCCATAAATAGCTGCATAGAGACAGATGTATCCCACAAAACTTTGGGTGTTTAATTGGGCCCCTGAATTAGGAGTTCAGTCACCCTGGCTTCCTGCCAGAGGGTGATTGAGACCCTTCGGATTTGAATTACTTGCTAGAGATGCCCGTTTCTATTTACTGACCGTAAATATGCTCATGGCAATTAAGCATCCAGTTTCTGCACCTCAGAAACATTTCAGGATGGAGAAGTCCTTAACACAGTTATGCATCGCGGTGTAAGGTCTTGCCTGTGCAATCATGCCTTTCTGATCACTGCAGTAGTCCCCTTGGGATTTAGATTTAAACCACGTATGTCTGGGTTGTGTGCCTTGTTATGGAGAATAACCCTCGGTTCTGTAGCCTGGTCCATGTGGTGCGGTCAGTTTTAGGTTTGAACTTGAGTTGGTGTGTCCACAGAGATCCAGTCGCACCATGTGCGTATTCAATATGTGATCCAGATATATAGACTTATCAGCGAAACCTCTTGAGTGTTTTGCCAGTATGAATGCTCTCTCTCACTCTTCCCTCTCTTTCATCTCTCCCTCCTTTTTTTCTGGTATTTGCAGATTTGGTAATCAAACCTTAAACTACAGGTTGTTCTATGATGGGAAGCACTTCGTGGGGGAGAAAAGATTTGAATCAATCCATGATCTGGTTACAGATGGCTTGATAACATTATATATAGAAACAAAGGCTTCTGAGTATATTTCCAAAATGACAACAAACCCCATCTATGAACACATTGGATACGCCACTTTGCTTAGAGAAAAAGTGTCCCGGAGGCTGAGCAGAACAAAAAATGAATCAAGAAAAGCAAGTGTAACAAGTGAAGAAAATACCCCGGTTGAAAAGGTAAGTATTCGCTTTAAAATTTTGGCAATTAATACCAGTTTTTCTATCCGATCTGAGAGAAGAAAAAAGTTTTTTGTCTGAAGACCTGCCTCTATTTTTCTATACTTCGTTTAAGTATTACTATCCCACTGAAAAGTTTATATCCTGTTAATGTGATCTTGTCTCCAAACTGGAGCTTCCGATGAAAGCTTTCTAATAAATGTCAAATGTAAATGTTTTCACCGTGGAAATATATATACATCTATATAGACTGGCTAATTTAGGAACTGCATCTGAAATTATTCACAAGTTACGTTTCTTTGTCCATGTATACTCAAGCATATTCCACAGCAGGATTATGAAGCCGGTTCCCACTGACCCTTCACCACAGCTCAAGTTTGTTATCTTTCCATTCACAGTGCAAAGCTCCTCTTTTCTGCTAAGCTTTTGGTGGATGGATCTCAAACTAGGATATTGTGTGTTTTCTTCCCCTTCTTGCTCTTATCTTCTGAAGTGGGCTTTCCTTGGTCTCCTTCTCTCATGTGCCCATATCCCGTAGTACTGTATGGACCAGGACTTATTTACATGATGATAAATAGAGAAATTTGTGCAGTTAGCAGCCATCTGAAGATATAAAGTTAGAAATCCTTTTACATATGAGGAACAGTGGATATCTTCATTTTCCAGGTGGTAAAGCAGTAAGAACTGTCAAACAAAACTTTTTTTTGAGTCCAGTGTGTGTGCTGAACTGACTTACATTTGTAACCGTATTTCTGCAGTGACTGATGATTTTAGTGTTCAGTGTGCTGATAGGTAGGTGGGAACTAGAGCTGGTTTCTATTTGGGAAGCAGGGAGTGAATCTGCTGTCATATAGTAATATTGAGCATGAAAAGAGATGAGCTTTTCTGTGTGTGTCCCCATCACTCTAGGATGTTTCTAGAGTAGTTATTACCTGTTGAGTTCACATATCTTCATTGCCTGATTATATACTGGTTTGAATTCTGCAGTAGTAATAATTGCTCAAGTAACTGACCTGACATGTAAACCTATTCATCCTTTATAACAACTTAATTACATTTACAATGACATTTTTTAGGGAAGACATACTGCTGCAGGGAAGTCCTTTGGCGAATGGTACAGCAACAAGTCCTCCATTCAAGATTTATTTCAGAATTAATTCACTGATGACAAAAGTTTGTGGTTCAGTTGGATATTGTAATACTCAAGAGGAGTGGATGCCATAGAGATGGGTTTTGTGCTCGTTCAGTTGATTCCTGTGATTGGACACTGGTTGGTTGTGAGTGCTGTAACAGGCACAAGAAAGTGAATTTTGTCTTTATTTGAGGCACACTAAGAAATAAACATAGTGCAGTGTGACAAACATTTTTGTGTAGGTGTTTTTGTGGGGGTAGGAAAATGGTCCAGAGGATGATCTGGAAAAGTTTCTTTTGTATCAAGAAAGTACCAGACTGTCACTGGGGTGACTGTAAATACTATTACATGTCTGTAGTGTAATAAAGCAGTCATGACAGTTGAAAATCATGCTACATTCTCTAGGAAATCAGGCGAATATTTTTTTGTACAAGGGAAAACACAATTTCAAAATTGTGTTCAGTTTTCTCACAGTTCTTGTAGTTGAGGAGCAATGGGCTTTTGTATCTCAAAGTGCTCTCAAAGACTTCCGAGGGGTTTGTTCTAGTACTATATATTTCCTAGCAGTTTGTGTTTTCTGTTATGTTTGGGGTTGGATGTAATTTTGAGGCTGGGCTGTTCTGAGTGAGTACTGTAAAAACTCTTTTAAACAAAGAGAAGGCAAACAGTTGCTGAAGGGACCCCTGCCCTCTCTCCTTCGCCTCTGCCTTTTTGCTCACATACGGTTTTATGCAGCTACACAGTAGACGACACTAGAAAACGGCTCCAGTTTAAAACTAACTCAGCCAGAAGAAAAACCACGTGAATTTTCAGCCAGAACTGCTACTTGATCCACCTCCTATGAGTGGAAACACAGCACAAAGGAGATGGCAAGACTTTTTTTCTGATGGCAGCTCAAAAAATTATGTTATTGGCTTAAAGTGAGTGGAGAGCTGCATCCTTAGTTCCAGATACCTATGCTTGAAAATGTTTGGCCTTGATGTAACTTGCTGTCAATAGTGAAAATACACCTCTGGCCCTCATAAGTGTTTGGATTAGGTTTTCTTTTGTATTACAGATGAGTGAAATTAGAGTATTATTTACCTCTGAGGTGGTTCACAATGTGGAAGCCAGTACCATGGGTCCTTACCCTACAAGTACTGGTGCTCATCTAGATTTCCTTACATTCAGGCAGTAGCAGCCTCCAAGACTGGGCTGTGTGGCTGTGCTCTCATATAAGAATAGCTGGCTTCAGCTAAGCCATTACGTTGTTAGCAACCCTCTCTGCCTTCCTCCCACTGAGGGGAAGCATCAGAAGGAGGAATAGCAGCTGTTCCTAACATATTTTTCTTGCCAGGAGGAGTAGGAGCAATCACAGCTACAAGAGGAGTGGGACTAAGTAGGCAAGGTGGTCTGCTCACAGGCTGAAGATCTGCCGTAGCAGCTGAAGCCTCACTGTTGATGATTAGGACTCCCAGTGGGCTTCTTCACTGGTACCAGTAGTTTTCCACCATCTCATGCAAATACAACGTGAGAAGAGATTATGTCAACTAAATTATTAGCAACTGAAAGAAATATATGGTGACGCTAACCATGGTTGCTTTTGATTCATATGTTCCTGAGAGAAGCTCATGAGAACTTTGGGTAGCAGACAAAGAAAGACTCAGGGGTCATCATTCCTGTTTGTTCCTCATAGTAACCTCAGATAAAGTATAGACTGGGCTTTGGAATAAACCGGTGAAATGTCAAGCATTTGTCAGTAATAGCGTATAGGGACAAAGGTAAGGATAAAGAGCATTTAATGTTTGTTTTTATATAAACTGTAGAAGTCCTCTAAAATATAAAAATAATATGAGGAAGTGGTAGTTCAGTGGGAGTTGTCTCAGATGTTTGGCTTGAGGCTGCCATGTGTTGTACTGTGTTTTAGACAAAGGCTATGGTTTGGTTTGCCCACAAATCAAAACCTTCACCCACTTCAATACTCCAGCAAATTTCAGGCCCCTAGAAATAAGTGAATGAATATTCAGCATGACGTTTTTCTGCAAAGTGAATTCTTTCCTGCATGTGTGAAAAATCATTGAGTCTTTTGTAAGGTGCGTTTTCTGTGGCCAGGTGAACGGGTAAAATGTAAATTTTTGGTAACAGCTAGTTTATTTGAAAGTTCTGCCTGGAGTCTTTTGGATGTTTCAGAAATGATGGGGGGCAAGCCATACATGCAGGCCAAGACTTCCGTTATTTTTTGAAGGGGAAGGTGAGAATTCAGCACTCTAAGGTTAAGCATCAGTACTCCTCTTACAGATTAGGCTTTTTACAAGTGAGATTTTGCTTTATACTGAAACCAATACCAGAGTGTGAAAACGCAGCTGAAGGCATTTGTCTCCTTAGTGGGTTTGTTAACACCATCCAGGGAGCCTGCTCATTCTGTCGCCTCCCACACTGACAGCAGAGATTATTCAACATCTCAGTCACTCCAACACTGCTGCTCCCCGTGGGGTAGGTCGACGGAAGGGGGCCACCAAGGCACGGGCTGGCAGGAGGAGCACACGTTCAGATGAAATGGCTTGGTACTGCCTGGGGTACCTGTCTTTTCCCATAATGATAATTCCTTTGAGCTTGTAATTAGTGAAGTCATGCCCGTTCCAGAAGGGGGGGGGTGATACATGGGCTGAATTAAACTGTTGTTGTTCATGCCTTTTTATCCAACCTCTTCTGTAACAGACCTAAGAAAGTGTTTATGCTTTAAGATACTTAATGCCAGTGTTTCACCCGAAAGTTATTTCTGTCTGATTTTAAAGAGCTGCTACATTTGTAGACAGAGATTCCAAATTTTAGTATGAACAGTTTAACAGATCTCTAATCTGAAAGGAGCCACAGTGATTTTTAGGAATGAAGTGTTGTGGAAGAACATCATGCTGCAAATACTTTCTTAGCAGTGTAGGGAATTGTCATTTTAACGGGATCCAGCTTCAAAAAGGATTTTGGATAGAGAAATAGTTTTTTGTGCAAAGAACATTTAAAGATTGTATGTTGTCTGTTTAGGGTTGTAATTTAAACATGGGCAAATTGTAATCGCCTTCTTCATGTTTGTTCTGCTTATGGAATGCTGTACTTGGGGCAAATGAATAGTAGAAGATGTAGGGCAGATAAGTACCCAGTACTGGTATGTACTGTAATTAATTACCAGTAATTCACGTTACTGGTGAATGTAGAAGTGTAACTTGCTGTAAGCAATTAATCTTCATGTGTAGGAGTGAAAAATTTGCAGTAGTGTATCAGTAAAATATGTAGTTCTGAAACATTTATCACTATCACATACCATGTTAATCTGCAACTGCTGCTTTACTGCGTCAGTGATCCTTGTGTCCCAGGCAATGAGAAAAAATTCTTATTTTCTAATCCTACATCGGTAAGTGTTATTTGGGAAAAAAATATTTGAAGAATTGAAATGTTGGAAGTAAGTGCAAGGTGGAGTTTCACGAATCCTCTGATTGGGTAAAAGCTGTCACAGTTGCTGATGAGAAGCCATCCGGGTTCCCTGCTCTTGCACTTTCATTCCCACTCCTGTGACCTGCCCTGTGCACTGCCACAGCCACCCCATGCCTCGGGTGGGACGTGGATGCTGTGACACGGTGTCCTGTGTTGGGCAAAGGCTGTGCCCTGCACCTTGCTTCTTTGCTATGCTGGCTTTACGCAGAAGCAGTTCCTTGGTTTGTGTTGCCTTATGGCTTCTCAAGTATTCACGTTAGCACGGGGGGGTGCGGTGAGAACGGCAGGCTGGAGTTAAAAGAAAACCTTGAGCAGTGGTTGAGTTTAAAGTATTTGCAAAAAGAATGATCTTAACCTATCTGACAGAGGACAAACTGTTGGTAAACGCAGTAAAGATTAACAA